CAAGTACGGGTGACAGATCAGTTCGCACCAGGCATGAGCATACCTAACCTTTCCCTGTTTAGAGCTCCGATGGACTCGGGCCAGTGGCTGGGGAAGCGGCAACAAAGCCAGCAAGCAACACGGGGAGATGAGACAAGGACAAAATGAATGAGGAGCAGCAGGAAGAGCCTGGCTGGATGAGAAGGGGAAAAAGAAACCCACCACGCCTCCTCCTACCCTGGAAAGCAACGGCTTGAAGGCGAGATGGGTAATTTTTAGCGGCTTGCTAGCCTTTACCAATGTCAGCCAGGAGTGTTGAAGTTAACACGCTCCTCGCAGATGATATTACCGGTAAGAAGGACCCGCTGTCACTAAGTTAGGCGAAAATTAAGACACAGTTCACACGGTGAATGTCATCTTAAAGGCACTGCCGCTGCCGAGGCTGACCCGCATAGGACCGTCTCCACCCAAACAATAGCAGCAGAGGTGTGAATTCTGCTCAGCCCCCAGATGGGCTTTCGGGGGGCTCTGGGCGATGGCAGGGGGGTGTCTGGGTGGTGGTACCACGGGGGGTTACCAGCAGCCGGGCGAGCCCCCTGAGGGGAACCCTGCAGGCAGCTGACACACATTTCTCCTCCACCTCCCCACGAACCCTCCTCACCAGGCTGGGAGGGGGATTCCAGCACCACCCCTACACACCCCTTTTATTTTTTTTCCCTAAAAACCAACCACGATGCGAGGGGTTTCCCTGATTTTGCGCGAGGCCAGCACCGAGGCCGCCCCTACGGAGGCCGTTGGGGCCGAGGGGGGTCGGGGAGACCCCTGTGGGCGAAGGGGACCCCCCGATGCCCCCTCAGCCCGGCGTTTTGGGGCCGGGCAGCCTCCAACGCCGGCTGCGAGGCGGCGCAGCGGCCCTCAGCGGGGCCCGGGGGCGGCCCCCCCCCGGCGGCGGCCCCATTGTGCTCCTCGCCAGCCCCCGGGGGCCGCCGCCCTCATGACGGAGGGAGCACAAACCTCCGGCCTTCCTCCACCTCCCCCCCCTCCCCCGGCCTTCCTCCTCCTCCTCCTCCTCAGGCGCGGCGGGAAGAGGGAGGAGGGCGATGAGGGGGAGGAGGAGGAGGCCAGGCCGCGGCCCCCCGCGGCTGCCGCCCACCTCCACGTCGCGGCCCTTGTTCTTGAAGCTCTTGATGCGGTGGTTCTCCAGCCCGGCGGCGGCGTTGTCGGTCATGGCGGCTCCCTCTGAGGCGCGGCTCCGGCTCTGAGGCGGCTCCGGCTCTGAGGCGGCGGCGGCGGCGGCTCCGGCTCGCGCGAGGGGCGGGGGACGCGCCGTGACGAGAGCGCGCGCGCGCGCGCGGCGCCGGGAAGGGAGGGGAGGGAGGGGAGGGGGGGGAGCCGGCGCGGGCGCGCGCGCCGTCGCCTAGCAACCGCCAGAGCGGCGGGCGCCGCTCGGCCAATGGCGGCGCGGCTCGGCCCCGCGGCGTGGCGCGGGGGGTGATGGGAGGTGTAGTTCTGGGCCGCCTTTCCCTCTCCCGCCCCCCCCCCCTCTCCCCACCGTTCCCGCCACTGTCACGCTGAGGGTGGTGGCCTCGCACGAGGAGCCGTTGGTCCCGGCATGGCCGTGGCGGTTGTTGGCTCCTCTGATGCCAAAAAATCCCCCACACACACAGCCGTCTAAATCACTTCACCCCCCAGGCCGCCTTGAAACAGTGTTTCTCAAGCATAAAACCCAAGAAAAAAATAAGAAAACCCACCCCCCCCACACAAAATACCCCAAAATGTGTCACATTCGCACCCAGCCCGCCTCATAACCCCTCACAACCTGCCTGATAACGCCTCACCATCTGCCTGATAACGCCTCACAACCTGCAGCGTGTCCCTACGAACCCCGTTTTCAGAGCGTCCCCCTCTCATCACTCAGCTCCTCAATGCCCCCAGCCCTTCTTCACGTCCCCGAAATGGCGGTGACCCCGCCGCTGCCCGCCCGGCCGTAGCGAGGCTTGCAGCCTGCTGCAGGGGAATAAAAATAAAAAAACTCGTGCTTTGTCACCGTCTTTCTGCTGTGTGCCAAATGTGTGTATCTAAGGGGCCAGTGCAGCGTTTCCATCATTTCCATCCCTCCTGTCTCCACGCAGTTTCGACACATTTCCCTCTCAGTGTGTTTTTTACCTGGGTAAATTCACCACCACTGCGAGCAATGGAAGAGAGCAAGGAGCCCAGAGCAGGCAAAGCCCACGTGGCACGAGCAGCATGACGGCATTTGTCGATGCTGCTCATGTCAGAGGTGGCTTCGGGGCCCGATGCTTGCAGTTTTGTAGGGGAACTGGACCCAGCTGTCCTTGGCAGAGCTGCTGAAGCAGATTCAGGAGCTGAGAGCTTTGCTTCACCCGCCAAGAAAGGCTGCAGCTGCCAGCTGTGGCTTACTCAGACCCGCTCGGACATCAGAGCGACGCTGGCTCGGTCACTGCCAGACAGGGTGTTGCAGCCATCCTCCACAGGAGCTCTTGGCCATTGGCACGAACAGAGGAGCTTTGTTCAATATAACCTATGAAGTAACATGGAAAACTTACAAATAAGAAATGGAAAGCGCCCAGACTGCGACAACTCAATTTACCGATCCATAAATCTATACCCGTTCCACCAGATAGATAAAATTTATAGACGCAATCGTGGCGATGTCTTTCCAATCCCATTTCTTCCTCCTCATGATGGAAGCCTATGGGAGTGTCTGCGGTGCGCTTGATTCCTCTTAGTAGACCCTCAGGTATTGAATGCCTCAGACAGAGCTACATGGTAGTTGGATCAGCTTTATTGCCTGAATAAAGTGGTGCTCATGACTGCATAATTAAACTTGCATGTAGTCAGAGAGAAAACATTTTGAGGTAGTTAAGCAAGTACTACTTTTTGGCACTGTCATTAACAGATACTACGAGTACTTCGCTACTTTGGAAACTGAGTGAACCCCGTGGTTCAGGGTAGCCATTCTTCCTCAGCACATGAGCTTCATATTAACATGTTCCTGGCCACCAAGACCTGAAAGGTACATGTCAAGGCCTTGAGCACACTGATAGGATTTACTGGCCTTGTGCTGGCCCCCCACACTCCATTTCAGCCCCATGGGCCATCAGTCCCTGCCCTAACGATGCTGCACTGGGCTGGTCTCCAGCTCCACCACAGCCCTGCCTGACCACGGGCCCTGAGGTGGGCTGAAATGGGGCTCCTGGGCCACTGGAAGAGATTAAAGGAAAGGAGGGAGGCTGCTGTGGCCAGCAAGGTCTGTGAATGCCTTCAGTGCCCCAGCGACATAAATTTTGTCACTTAAGGGCCACGGGGAGGAAAAATCTTTCATAACAATTCAGAGATGCAGGACTGTAACAGCTCTTTGGGTATCCCATGACTGAATGGTGTTGAGCTGTGCTTATTTCTGGGACAATTTGCTGGCTTCAGTTGAACAAACTGACCCAGCTGGTGACATTGCCATAGTGTGGAAATCACCTCAAGAATGCAGTGTCAGAGGCTGCTTCCTCCTGTGGTAGCCAGTCACTTGCTCTTCTGCAGTCCATAGCTTTGTCTATATCTGCCGGTCAATATAGTTGCAATAAAACCAGCACATGAAGGAAATGTGATGAATCCGAGTCACGCTTTTGCTGGCTGTCCCTGCAAGAAGGCTTGGGGAGATTTAGGTGCGGTGATTTAAGACGCGACCTGTTGCCAGTCCCACCCTGCCAGTGGCTGTCAGAAGGCAGGAGAGGTGAATAAACGTGTGTCGGCTCCCCATTCTCTCTATTCACAGTCACAGGTAGCTGAAGCCAAGGCCCGTGGCATGAAGGAGGTGTGGGTGCCTCCTGGTGCTCCCAGCAGAAGAGGGGGGCAGCTGGCGAGGTGGTGTGGTCTCAAACTGCTGCTGCTGAATTGGCTGTCAAAAACAAAAAAATAAAATCATGCCACATCCAATCACAGAAAGGTGCAAGGATAATTAATTAAGTCTCTAAGTTCACCTAAACCACTCATCGGTCTCATGTCCTCCTCACCCATCCCAAAATGGGATGCCTAAGCATCTCCAGCTTGGGTTGCAACACTGCCGTGACAATGTCAGACCATCATCACAGTGGAGCAGGAGGGGGCTTTTCTCTATAAAATTTGCTGCTTTTCAAGTGCTCCCTAATTCCCAGCAGATGTTAACTTTTGGGGCTTGCTTTCCCTTGTCTGATAGAGGCAGGCTATTGATGCGTGTTTGCAGTACTTTCTGTCACTGAACTCAAAATTTGTCTTCATAGGGAAAGTTATGTTCTTACCTCATGGTGACTAAGACTTAGTAATGAATGTAGAGTAAATCCTGGTAAAGACTCAAGCTTTATTAAAGGCTGCCATGAAATACTGTGGATGCTACGAGTCAATGTGCCTGAAGGAGAGGCGAGAGATTCAACAAAGAGAAGAAACCCAAGGAAAGTTGCTGTCAAAGATACACACCCAGGTCAGGAAACCCCTCATCTGAAAACGAACCTGGGGAAGTGTTGGGGGAAGCATCACCTTTTTTTTTCTTGTTCTAGTGCTTTTCTGATGGACAGGAGGAGGAGATCTGTGCCAGGACAGTCCCAGAGGGTTGGCTTTGCTTCTGGGGGAACACGAAGAACTGGCGGAGGAGCTGGCATGAGGCTGGCTTTGGAAGAAGCAGTCCAGGGGTTGGGTTTACACAGGCCTTGGTATCTGCAGACCAGGAACAGCAGCACCGATGGGACAGCTGGCTTTTACACCAGCATTTCCAGAAGCTGGGGGACATTTCTAGTGAAGGAGGAACTGTAACGCCTCCGGTTATTCGCAGCCCCCCTGGGTTCAGTCTAAGAGCCAGACTGCTGCCTCAGCATCTTTGTCTACACTCTGGCAGGACAATTAGGGCAAGTTCCTCCTGGGACGGAGTATCACTTTCATCCTCCGCTATTCTCACAAGAAACCCCAGAGTTTCCTCATTTTGTGCTGTTTCCAACCACCAGCGAGCAGCTCAGTAAGAGAAGGTGGACCAGGGCCAGGGGTGGACATGGGGTGGGGGCTTCATGGACAAGGGCCCACTTCCAAGAAGAGTTCATCAGGGGACAGCAGCCAGCCAAAAGCCCAGATCACCAGACAAGACCACAGTGATCAGTCCCAGCTCAAATCAAGGTCCATACTGGTGAGTATGTTAATTAATTAGATAATGAATTAATGTTAATGCTTCATTAATGTTAATTAATTAGCTTGAACACAAGCCAAGCTTCTGAGATATAGCTTGCAGAGCCATGGGTCCATCACCTTCCTGGGGTATGGCATTAGGAGGCTGGGCAGTACCACCACCAGCAAAAAATGGTGGGCTCACTGCTTTTTTTTTTTGGTGGAAACAGCTCTGGGAGGTCTCCTCCACGGCCCAAACCCTCCTGCACCCACAGCCTGGGGATGCCAAGCCCCAGCACCTAAAAGAGCCAGGAAATTCCTGACACAGGCTGAGCCATGCCTGAAGGAGACAGCAAAGGGATTCTGTTTACAGGAAAGGTCCCCGAGGACCTGGGAGTGACTGTCTGCAGGATGGCTCTCTTAATTTATATTTCAAAGTGGATAATTTAATTGGCATAATTGGGAGTTTGCTTTCTTCTCCTCGTTACAGATGTGCAGAATATGTCAGTGAGAGGGAAGCGTGTCTGGAAGGGAGATAACTGCAGAAGAGCTCTGTAACAAAGCAAATAATGTCATCAGATTGGGGAAACTTTCTCTGCAGAGGTAATGAAGACCTCCTTTCAGTGCTCTGGTCGCAGGGTGTGGGGTACCACATTCCTCACCCTCTGGAGCAGGAGCAGTTTGGTTCTGCGTCATGGCAAAGAGTGACAAGGGGACCTGGACGGATGGGGGAGAGCAGGTAGAGGTTAACATTTCAGCCCCTAAGCTCCAGCATGAAGAAGATCCACCTGCTGCAAACCAGACAGCCTTGTCCTGAAGACTGAATGAGCTTGGGGCAATCCCCCACGGCTCTACCTCACCATCCAAACCACGATGCTCAGTTTCAGATTTTGGCACGTGTCAGCAGTATGCTTTTACTCCTAAACACAGCCTCTGAGAGCTGCAGGACTTAGTACCTGCACTGCAGGAAATTGGCTTTCTTTTTTTTTTTTTTTAATATTATTATTTTCTTTTTAATCAGAAATATCTCAGAGTGGAATTGCAGTGACACCAAAGCAGTTTTCAGCGCTCACGTCATCCAGGGTTATCGAGAGCCTTCAAGTGGATTCGATGTGATTTCACTAAGTCAGATTAAGAATTTTTCCTATAAGCAAAGGCAATTTCAGGCAAATAATTACTGCAGACAAGGCAAAGGGTTCACTGGGGTGGCTCAGGAGGCTTCTGCTGCCCTTGGTGCCAGCAACACAAGGCGTATTTCCCTGTTGCATGCGTGTTGTGCAGGCCGTGCCTCCCGCGCCCTCCCAGATCAGGCTGTTCCTGTCCCTGGGTAATGCAGCTCTGATGACAGCATCCTAAGAAAGGCGGATTTTCTTTCCTGCTCTCATCTCCAAGTATTAACCTGCCCTGACTTCGCTTCATTTGTGCGAGCTGAGATCAGTTCGCTGCAGAGGTTACACCCAGGTGTACGACAGAAGAGGAGGCAGCTTCCTGCAGCTGCTGTTCTGCAAAACAAGCCTTAGCTTCTGCTCGTACATATTATATACATATGGAAGTGTATCTCATAGAGAATGGCACAGATGCAGTGCTGTGGGAACCTGGAACAAGGCATGCTTCCCTTCGTGTGCCTCAATGGGAGAAAATTCAAGCGCAGTTCTATCTCTGCTATCACCACATACCACTAGAGCTGGCTATTGCCACCGCGTCCCCTTCGTTGGAGGAGAGGTTCTCCATATTTAAAGCCTGCAAATAACGGCACATTTGGTGCCGTGTTGTTCCAAACAAATGCAATATTGTTGTCTCAGTAACTTCCATTTGTAGGAAGTCAGCAAAGCAGCGAGCCCCCAGGCTTACACCCTGAAACGTTTTGCCGGTTTCACGTGATTATTGGCAGAAACGGCGATTTTATTTTAAAGCCTCTCGTGATCTGCTCTCCAGATCTATTTGGATCTCCGGTCCCCATGGCAATAGCGTCCCAAGCTCTGAAAATAACAACGTGCACAGCTATTTTGACTGAAGGAACCAGACGACACACGCGCATAAGGCTAAGCAGATGGGGACGTGCCTTCAGCCAGAGGGTTTCGTTTCAGTCATGAAGGTAAGCAATTTTCTGGGCACGCGGAGAGATCTGCTCTACGTGGCCAGACGTGTCAAGCCAGAGAGCTCTGTTTTTACATTGTCACTTTTTAAAGCAGGCCAGCATTCAGCCTCTTGAATGGCTTTCTAATGGTATCAAATGTGTTTTGTGCATCATGAACCCGTTTGGCATTGCTCTTCTCAGCAAAATGCCACTGAGATGGTGACACAGAAGAGGAGAGGCAGGGAAACGGATCCTGGCCTCATCTTCTGTGTTTCCGTGCTCCCCCTTTTGGACCGAAGCCATTAATCACTACGGGAAGCCTTCTGGGTTGCTTTGGTTAAGGGCAGGAGTTTGTTTTCATCCTTGATGCTGCCTCAAATGTTTGAAAATAATGGACGATGATGCAAAACTCACCTACATGGGACATTTCTTTACGCACAGCTCTCTCTGCCTTTATGTTGAACCTTGGCTTCACCCTGCAAGGCTGCCTCAAGGATGGATGGACCATCAAAGCACCACGTGGACCTTATCTCCTGGGCACCTGGAGCCCATCCCTACGTGATCCCTGGAGCAGGAGCAGCAGGGCTGGAGGATGCTGAGGCAGGTGGAGCTGCACAAAGATTCGGTCACGGGATCTGGAGCTGCTGGAAAGCTTTGACTCCAAAGGTCGCTTTTGGGGAAAGAGAAAAAGTAAAAATAGAGAAGCAGAAGGGAAAGGAAAACTCTGCCCAGTGGCCAGCTGGCAAGAGAGGGAACAGGAGGTCCCCAGAGGAGCATCCTCTGGTGGGAATCCTCCACTGGTGCCCCAACCCCAACAAATTTCCCATAGTAACCATATATTTTTCATATATCTATCTTGAGCATATATATATGTAGTTTGAGCATATATATATGCTCAAAACCCTCTTGGCAATGCTCTATCGAAGCTGACGCATGATGACGACAACACAAGACAAATGAAAAATGTGGTTGTGCAGTAACTGAGAGGGGAGGGAGCTTTCTCCAAGTATTTGCTCACGGATCGTTTGGTGATGATTCAACACAGTTGATGTAAAATCTGGCTGAGTTGAACCAGGTGCGAGCCAGCCTGGTGTGGGTACTACAATATAGCTGAAAGTGGGATTTAATACCAATTTACGTGGTCAGGAGGGGTGGGGAGAGGTAGAAGGAACGGGCACAGCCCAGTAACTTGTTTATCTTCCACAGCCACGAGTGACACACGGGAAGACTGCAGGCAGGGCTCGATGCTCAGCCTTCCAGCATTGCCCCTCCAGCCAAAGCCGGTGGTGAGCCAGGTCAGGGACCCGATCCAAGGTAAAAAGAGAAGGATGGATGTCTATATTGTTCTTTTTCCCCGGCTATTTTTCATGCTCTGAGCCAGCTAATAAGTCACCAGGACCTCCCAGAAGCCCTCCAGCAAAACGGCAGCGACGCCACTTGATATTTCCTGCCCTGCCAAGGTAAACATAAGCAGGGAGGAGAACCACCAGCAGCAAAACCAGAAGCCCTGCAAAGCTTCTTCATCCCTTTGGAACAACCAAAGGTGATAGGGGCACAGTTCGGAGGCAGACTTGGGTTGGTCACCCTTAGAAAGCTCCCGGGCTCCACACTCTGTGTGTCGCTGTGGTTATCGACAGATTTTATATAAATATATATATAAATATAGGTATATTTGAAGTTGTGTAGAGGATACTGAGTGAATCCTTGCTCCACCAGTGTAAAAGGAGTAGAGCAGCCCCGTGTTTGCATGACATAGCAGTGCTGCAGGCTACCAAAGATAACTGCTTTTTCATTTACACTCACAGCTGTGACAGCAGCGCAGGGGGGCTCTGCTCGGAGCTGGCTGGCGGCTGCTGTGCTCAGAACCTCCGAGGCTGCCGTGGGGAAAGTGCCAGAAAAAACATCCTGCTTCCTCCAGAGATGCAAGAGGCTGAGATGCGTTTAGGTGTAAGTACCTGGTTCGATAACGAGCACGTCGGGGTTTTTGTTCGGGCTCTTGCTAGGTGCTGCTGGTGGTTTGATAATAATTACAGTCGCTGCTTTGGGTGGTATCAAGCACTGGGAACACACGTGGGGATGCAGAAGCCAGAGAAGAAATCCTCACAGGTTACGAGGGGTGAGGGAGCCACCCGCTGTTCACCTTCCCTTCGCATTTAACTTCCTCATCTAGCAGTTAAACTGGTGATGATAAGATTTCTATGCAGATCGTTATGGGCAGGGAGCGAGTGAAATATGAACACATTTTGTAAATCTAGTAGAAACGCAATTCAGGAAGACAAATGGAGCTATTAAAACTTCATATCTTAGATATATCTGACCAATATACACATGTTATTCGGAGCTGTAGCTTTTGGAAGTTACTTATAGAACATTAAAATAGCAATAAATCCCTCAGCGCGCTCATTATTTAGCACCCACGTTCCACTTTATTCCCCTAAAGGATGCCGAGAAGAGAAACAATGAATTAGGGGGCAGATGCCTTGCACAAGCTCTCCTTAATTGCTGCCCAGGTCGCGTTTCTGGTGGCTCAGCAGTAGGGGAGCTCTGCAAGGCCACTCAGAGCCGTGGAAGATATCGTGGTGATGGGCGTGTGAAACGCCTGCAGCCCCAGAACAACGATCCCAAATGTTGGTCCAAAGCAGCCTGTCGCAGCGGTGACATCCCAAAGTGCCAGCCCTGTCCATGGCACAAGGAATCGTCTCTATAACCCGCCCTGTGAAGCCAAAGCACAGGGAAGGGACCTAGAGAAGATACCGAATGCTAGCAAAGCAGGACCACAAGCTGGGTGGCTTCAGACCTAGGCTGGCCACCTTCCCTCCTGCCACCAACACTTGCTGTCCTCTCAGCAGACCCCACACACTTTCCAGCAGCAAAGGGGAGGAACAGCTAATAGAGGAACCCAGTAAAAGCTTGGTAATTCATTTTCCAATCATCGTTTTCTGTCTTTAGATGTAGACACAAGTCCTGTAAAGAGCGCCGGTGGCCGGTTCTGCTGCACTTGGGTTTCTTCACAGCCAGTTTAGCTCAACTAAACATTTTTTGGACCACTCTGTTGGGCCCTGACAGCAGGTTTCACCATGGGTTGTACTTTGCTGGGCTCTCTGAAGGCAGAGTGTGGGAAAGCACCGTCCTTTCTGCTTTCACACACGCTGTCCCTGCTTCCCGTGATGTGCAGGAGCTGTGTGCCAGCAGCCAGCAAGCCCTGGGGAGAAAATAGAGAGATTAAAGATTAAATTATCTCCTTCAGCCATCACACACCAGCCTGCCAGGCAATGCGTGTGGGTGCGACACGCTGTGCCTGGTACCTTCAGACACACATAACGCGGGGACAACGACTGATTCCACATCCCAGACCCAACAGCGAAGCACACAGAAACCATGAAATTACTTGCCGTGAATCAGGGATTCATTATTTTAAGGAGGTGACGGCGTCCTTGAGAAGTGCTGAGGGATGCTAGTCACCCGCTTAAAGTCGTTCGTGGCTCTCGGTGCAACGCAGGAGGAAAAGGTGAAAGGAGCAGCACGCAGCACCAGGTGCTGAGCTGTGTGCCAAGTGGTTTCCCAACACCACGGCTGTTTTGGTGTCCTGGATGTCTCCTGGGGACTGACACAGCAAACTGCTGATGGCATCGGAGTTTAGGCAAGCTTACAGGGAGCAAACTGGAGCACAATGGTGGTTTCTGGTGCTCAGCAAAGACCGGTGGGTCTGGGAAAGAAGATGGGGGAAAGATACTGGTTTTGTGCCTCTTCTGGGTGAAAAAAAATCACAGAAACATGGATACCTGGGGCTGATGTGCTGAGTCAGGTCAGCTACAGCACTGCCACAGCTTCATCGTTATTTTTTCAGGTACCAGGAGCATCATCGGGGTGTGCAGGGCTCCGGATTTCCCACCCAGAGCTGTCCTTCCCTGCAGTGAAACACCAGGACAGACATCGGCAGGCTCACCTCTTGCAGGAGCTGGGACTGCCCAAATAATTCGTTGTGTAATTTAATTGTGTTAGCTAATTCCTTCCGAATTTTTTTTTCTAATTCCTTCCAAATATTGGCTTTCCATGAAGCGAAAGGAGTATCAAGACAAACAGCAAAAAAGTCAGAGGGATGAATATTTACACTGCCATTTGCCACACGTTACTCACCATCACGGTGGCAATCTCAGAAAGCCCTTATTAAATCCCATTTTCCTGCTTTTTAGCACTGGATTTGCCTGTCTTGTGCCAGGACACCCCCCAGCCTGCAGACCCCACTTGGCTACAAAATTGTCATGCACTGGGGGGTTAATGCTACAAAACTCAGCTACGGATGATGCATAGAAATTTAACAAAATATGGAAATGAACTCCAAAATTCACAAGTTACAAAGAAGAGAAAATTAGAAGCGGGTGAATCCGCATTCAGTGAAGATAAGACACTTGTTAGCATTTCATTACGACTTTCCTCTTCTGGAGGGCTTACAGACGTAAGATGCCCTTGTTAGTAGAGCTGCATGCTTCAGAAAACAGGAATTGCAAAACGCAGCTATTTTGGTCCTGGCATTTTCCTCTCTTACTCTCTATTTAGGGGGCTCGTTTGCCTGTATTAATGCTAGCAGCTTTAGGGCCGGGCCAACACATCCAGCTGCACTTTCAAGGCTCAGACCGAGGGTAAAAACCCTTCCTAGGTTCCTGAGTTTATTTTTGGGTCTCACAGGTCCCCAGATGAATTCTGCCAGGCAGCCATGCCGCACTCCGGCCCAGGTCCCGTAGCACCTGAGGTGGCTTCTCAGTGGGGAGCACCTTTTGGGATGCTCCTCCCCAGGGTCCTGCTCCAGAGGGGGATTTTGGTGCCTGCTGCGAGCTCAGCCAGCAGCTCCCGAGCCCCAATCTGGAGTTGTGACCCCCAAACCACCAGGTTACCTTTCTGTCCTTCCTCGTGGCTTCAGCACGTCCCCCTCGGGAAGGTGCGGGGAGCCCTTTAGGATCAGGTCGGGTCATCCCACATGTCCCATCCTGGGCACCAGAAACTGGGGTGAAGAGAGGAGGCACCTTTCACACAAACTCAACAGCTGCATATAGAGATTCATCTAATCAATACAATTTTTCTTTACACCTCCACATTGTATACATAAGATGTGTTTGTCACAGACTGGATGAGGTTCGAAGGAACCTCTGGTTGCCCAGGACCACGTCTTTTACATGACATTTTCTCTTTTACATCACATTTTACGTTACATTTTGCATTTCACACACCCAGCAGCTCTGAGACCCCACAAGGACAGCACATTCCCATCTGGGTTTGTTCCCAGGTTATTTCTTACCTGGCTCCGAAGCTGGATGATGCTTTTGGGACAGGAGGTGACTGTGCTGAAGCCCCTGTGTCCACCCCATCCTCCGGCCAGCTGTGGCTGTGCTCTCAGCAGGAAAAGCTGACGGGGCCGAGCATCCCCTCTGCTGCCCACATCCATGGGATTGCCCTTGGCTGCCCGGCTGGTGCTGGTCCTGCTCCTGCAAGGTTTCCATCCATCTGATGGAAATTTATCCGTGCAGAGCTGCTCAGGAGGGCTTTGCCGTGCTAGGAGGGAGCAAATGGTTATTTCCCCTGCTGGCGAGTTCTCAGATGCACAGATATCCCCGTGCTTGCCCCCAAAACGAGCTTTTGCAAAGAAGCTGAGTGCAATTAAGGCTTCTGTCGTGTCGCTAACCTGAGAGCAGAGAGCCAGATGCAGTCACGCATCGCTAACGTGCTCCGGCTCAGTCAGCGGGGAGGGCAGCGAGCACGGCAAATTATTTGGGATAAAACCAGCATCGGCTACGGCGGGATTAGGAAACAATGGGGACTGATGGAGAGCCGCAGGGGCGTTTGAATGAGCCCTGATGGTAATGTGCACTTCTGTGCAGGGTGGCTCCGAGGTGTGGATTAGCATCCGCAGGGCTGCGTGCCCTCCGACGTGGCTCCGACCCTGCGCGTCCTCTCCCCTGTGCTGCTACCTTGACTGACTTCATTTGCAGAGGGTGTCAGAGAGGTTTTTGTGGGGCTCATCTAAAAAAGATGCTCCCCCCAAGCGACTCTTCCTTGCTGCTGGACTAAAAACGCTCGACAAAGCTGAACTCAGTTATCCTGTGCAGCCTCAGCAGTCACACTGTGCTGAAAGAAAACAACAAAACAAAGCAAAACAAGGGTTTGGTTGCGAGTTTGACCAGCTCGCAGCTAGAACTCCTGAATGCCTTTAAAAGGATGGGATTGCACCCACATTTGAGTTCCTCTCTTTTGCCTTCTTTTTGTTTTGTTTTCACTCGTGCACTGAGAATCAGAGGATATTTGGCAGGGAAGGAGAAGTGTTTTTACATGGCTTAAAGACAGGCGGGTGCAGTAGGTGTCCTGCTGCGGACACGGTGCAATCCTGCTTGCTCCTGCTTCAATTGTAGGACCTCGCTCAAAGTGCATTAGAAGAGGAGTTACCTGAAGTACCAAAAGCTCTCCTATGTGGACAGGCAGCCTCGAATAAGCCTAAACCACACAGCTCAAAGAAGAGCTCAGGGATCATGCAGCTTCTCCTCTCAGGCACCGTGGCCCTGTCCGAACGCAGAAGTCATTTCCCTTTCCTTTCTCTCAGGCTGTGCAGCCCCCACAAGCTGACTGCTGCTGCTTTGGGGTGGAAATGTCGTGGTCGTGGCTCCTGTACCTTGCCTGCACTATTTGCATATTTATACGCAGGCTCTGCACTTGTAATTTTTGGCCAACAAATAGGTAACAAGGCTCTTCTTCACCTGGCAGAGACTCAGGCCACCTACCTGCAGGACAATCCGTTGACCACCAGGCTCCTGGGTGCTCGGGGATGGAAATGCTCTCCCTCGTCCTCAGCTTCAGTTTGGAAACTTCAAAAAATAAAGAGGAACATGGCTCCTGAGATTACTGATCTCGTCCGGGGGTGACTTTGTGTCGCAGGTTTCATGCTGAGAGTTGTTTTGTGATTTACACCCCACCCGTGTTGGATAACCACCGGGTGTTATGCAGGATGTAGCACGCCGAGCTAAGCAGACTTCTGGCTTCACCTAACGTGGACATTTTATTATTAAAATGTCTTCTTTTTGGCATCTGGAAGAACACGGTACAGCTACTGGTAGTCAAAAGGAGGCTGAGAGCAATTCAGGATGCCCTGAGCCACCCTCAGGCATCGTGTCCTAAGGGAGAGTCACAGGAGTGACTGGGAGAAGCGTGTGCCAACCCTGCCCTGCTGGCAGTCTGATGGAAGGGCTTGGTTTTGCATGATTTACCTGCTGCCATCAAGGTAAAGAAGCCAGCGAGTGTGTTTGAACTTTTGTGTGCTGTTCAGCCCTGCTGGGAGCGGCAGTTTGGGGAAGGGGGAAGGACCAAGCAGCGTCTCGTGGCACCGTCCGAGCCCTTACGCAACGAACACCGCTCTGCGAGGAGCTTTAGGAGTTAACAGCACTTGGAGCAGCTGTGCTGAGACACCGGGACTTCTCCGAGGATAGAGACCAGGACCAGGTGAAAGCAGGTATCAAGCTATCTAGAGAAACACACCAGCTGCAGTTTCTGGAGCTCACGGGCACCAAGAAGTGGAACCTGGCTGCCCGCCAGCGCGACTCGCACGAGGATGAGACCACGCAGACCACAAGAGGAACTGGGCAGCCAGCAGGGCAGAGCAACTCGCCCTAGTGCAAAATGTCTCCGGGCTCTGGGGAGTCCAAATCTCCCAGTAATTTGCCAGTCAGGCTAACGAGAGCAGCTGCAGATCCTTTCAGGTCAACACCGCAGGGCTTGCACTGGTATAAATCATGCGTGTCGCTACGTCTGGAGGCAGGAAAATAAGGAAGGAAGAGAAACAAAGGGCAGAAACAGAGATGGCCCTAAAAGGGAACTTAACTTTCTTACAGAGCAATCCTGGAGGCAACAACAAGGCACTAAACAATACGGCCGGGAGCTTCACTGCTGGGGTCTGCCTTCCCCCACAGCCCTGTGCTAGAGCGATGGATACGGAGATGGGCAGACTGGGGGGATGCAGCCCTTTCCCCAGGGTGAATCTGAAATCCACATCTCTTTGGGTGAAGATAAAAGAGTGAGAGGAAAGAAATACCTTGATTCCCATCCTACAGAGAAGGGACAGCAGCAGCATTAAGGTGCCCTGCACAACGGGACGGCTTTACGGGTACGGGCAGAGCAGCGTGCTGGCCTCTAAAGCTCGCCTGGTGAGGACAGAGCTGTTTCCATAACTCCTCATTAATTTATTTATTTCAGCAGTGACGCCCCCCTGAGCAGCCACACGCAGTGCTTCTGACAGTTCAAGACTCAGCAGCCCCGAGCTCCTTCCCACCTGCGCTAGCTGGGGACCCCAGCCCACTCACATGGCCCTGCGAGGAAAAACTTCAGCAACACGTGGGGCGACACCGGCCAAAACACCCGTCCGTCTGTCCCTGCTGCTGCCTCTGGCCGAGGAAATGATTCACGTGGCATCAGCAGAGCCCTTGTCCTGCACGACACGCACCTTCATTTTCTGAATAGGGACAAAGTTTCCCAGAATTTAGGAACTGACAACGTGCGACAAAACAAAACAAAACAAAACACACACAAAAAAAAACAACAAAAACGCGGCTGTCTTATTGCTTGTGGGGGAAATGGGCCTTCAAAGAAGATAAATTAGATGAGAAGCCAAGAAAAATCAGCCCAATCCTCTCCTAAAGCAGCCTGTGGCAAAATCCAGGCTCAAGGATTATCAGAGGGCCCTCCCCTTACCGTCACACCTGAAGGTGTGCCCACACCCCCTACCCTGTGAGCCTGCTTTAGTTCTGACTGCTGCGTTCAAACGGGAATGATTCAGACTGCTCCGACTCGATTTCTCTTGATGGAGAGGAGTTGTGACAGGCAGTGGCACACAAGCAGCCTGAACGTTGCCCCAGGTTTGTCCTCCTGACATCCCGCTGGAGGAGGAGGGACTGCTCCCATCCTAGACAGAAGATGACTTTGTCCAGAGCACGCTGCTGTGAAACAAGCCGCTTCCACCAGCTTATCTCTATCGCACCAGAGTTTACTTTGGCTGAAGACTGCATTTTTCCAAGACAAAATCCTCACCAAACTTCTGAAATCGTTGCTCAGTGTGGTACCTTTTTACTTACGGAAAGGTCATAAGCCATCTTATACCGAGTACGGATATTTTAAGGCAGAAGGGAGTTCAGATTTCTCAACAATGGGGATTTTAACTTGCGCTGCTTGCCAATGAAATGAGCACATCCAAGAAAAATGACTCAAGTCTTCATGTTTCTTGAAGCTAGGGACTGTCTTGTCTCTTAAATGTGCCAATTTTTTTTCCATGGATGTGACTTGGCTTCTATTTTCGCCCTCCTTGTATTATCTTGAATTAGATTGCATGCGCAAGGCAAACTAAATACACACACAAAGATATTTTTTTTTTCCTTGACGGGTTCTGGAAGTAGGAAAGAGTAGCATTAAGTTTATTTGTGCACATCTCTTCACACCGAATTTCTTCCATTTTACCAGATGTCTCCTCACAAGAACATTTTTTTTTCGATCTCATTTAATCCCCAGCCCACCTCTTGACTACAGCAAAGGAAATTCCAGTGCCTGAGCTATTCCTCTTCCCCAGAAGTGTCAGACGTTTGTTCCTTGTGGGGAGATAAAGAGCTCCTCTGCTGACTCGTCTGGGCAGCCAGATCAGGTAGGCTTCCTTAGGTCCAACACAGGGCTAGAAAAGGGTCTAAGAAAAGCTAAAATGTCTGGATGGATAACAAATAGAAAAAAAAAAAGGCTCTCAAACAAGCCAGCTCAGGAAGGAACTGGTCCTACCAACTGTTTGTTCTTGCAAATACTCCGCTTGTAAACATCCACCATCCAAGCAAGCAAGATTTCTGCCCCTGTACATCCCAGAGCTCTCCCGAATCCCTTCAGTTTTTGTGTAGAAATCCTTCTCTAAGATGTCAGTAACTAGAAAAGCACTTCATTGGGGAATTAGGGACAAAACTGCTTAGTGAAAGGCTCATTTGGCACCGAGATTTGTTCAAAATCTTTAGCACTTCCTTAGGCTTCCTGCAAATACCGTAGCTGTGTAGTTTGGGACATATTTACGCAACCAAGTCCCTCACTACAGCAAGAGGTGATGGTTAACCCCATTTCCAAAGCCTTCCAAAATGGTGTAGCTCAGGGGAGCCTTAGCCTCGGACCTTAAATCCTGGAGTGACGAAGACACACAGGAACTCATTTCACTGATTCACCCTGTGAAGCCTTACCTCAGCCATGAGCCTGAGCAGATTTGAGTGTACAAAGCCCCATCACCACAACAACCTGATAACAGAGCCGAGCGAGTACTGCAAAAGCAATCAGCGAGCTCACTCGTACGTGGTTAAGGCGTTCTTGTTAACGACTAGGAGTCTGTTCCTTTTATTTTTGCATCCCTCTACATGCACGGCCTTCCATTCCCAAGAAAGCCTGCAGAAAGGGAAAAAAAAAAACAGCATGAACAGCCCTACACGTCTGTTTTCACGTGAACGTTTGCACCTGCATGGATGTACATGGATGTTTTGAACCCTCATCCTTTCAGGCAACCCTTGAAAGGTATTTCTGGCTTTATGGTATCTAATGAGGGCTTCAGGCTCCTTGGAACAGGATTACCAGGCTGCATCTATCCCGGAGCACCATAAACAGCTCCAGCATGATCAGAATAACAACTCCACTGATTTACATGCAATCCGTATGACGTGCCCTGTCAGTTCAATTTATTTATGGATACACAAAGTCTGCTTCAGACTTCCTATCTTGCTGCCACGGTACCATCTCAGGAGGACTCCTAAAATGTACAGTATTAGCTAAAATTAAGTTTTGCACTCTGATAGTGCATCCAAATTGTAACATTCAGAGATTAAGAAAACATTTAGGTACCAACAATTAGTGGAAATACCTCGACAATTTTACTGGGAAGCATGATTCATACTTATTAACATGAATTTTGCTACTAGGAAATATATCGTTAAATCTTTAACTGAAAATGACTTTAGAGTGAAGCTTTCAGAAACATTTACTGCACCTCGTTTCTCTGGGCAAAGCTGGGGCTGGGAACACAGTACGCTGGTTTTGTTGCCAGGTGCTGAAATGCCACGCTGGGACACAGGTTAATTCATTTGCTCTTTCTGTAGCTTCTTACCTGTGCAATGGAGTTAACTGCTCCCTTGCTTCTCTTACGAGGCATCTCCACAATATTTATTTCCAGGTGAAACCTGCAGTGTCTTTCCATTTCCATAAACGGATGGTAATCATCTTTTATTCACCCCCCCTTACTTTAGACAGTTTCCCTGTGACACCCAAACAAGAAGTTTTCCCATGTTCAGACAAGAGGTGTAGTTACACTGTTCAGCTTTACAAATTCATCTTACTCAGTTTATGATGAGAAATGAGCAACTTGCAGCTGTAAAAGCAGGCTCCTCTAATATTTTTGGCAAATTTAGCAACTATTTTGAACATTTTGTATTAATCAAAACGTTTTCCATTTCAAACCTTCGACTTTGAAGACAGCCCTCTCTGCACCTTCAAGGAGAATGAGAACTCTGTCACCAAGTCTATGTTAAGCTCAAGATAACAGCTTTTACTGTTAAATATTCTTAAAGAGATCAGGCTTCAAAATCAGTCGTTTGCTGGATATACTTAGATGAAGTGATAAGAGCTTCTTTAAATATTTCCTCCTTTCCCCAGGAACATGAGAAACTTAATTCCACATGAAGCACTTTCATCTCAGTAGTCTTTGATGGCAAAGAAACACTGTTGAAGGCATTGTTCAAAGATACCAAAAGGATGAAGAGGGACACCTTCCCTCACCTTTTATATCTAAAGAACAAAACTGTGTAATAATAATTCCAAAAGTTTAAAAAGCTGACAAACTTGAACAAACAGAAACATTCCTATCAAATGGCAGAGCAAAATCACCTCAAGGATGAATGTTTTGTATAATCTTTAACACAGCAGAGCAGATTTCAAGGGGAACCAGAACTGCACCACTCCAAGTCTCCCCCGGTTTATACCACGCTGAAAATGGCACCCCATCCTTTCAGGCTGAAAAGTTCAGTGCTTGTACGTGACAGCAAGGCAAAACGGAAGGAAAACGTGGTCCACTCAGAATGCAAAGAAAGATGCAGAAAACCATACATTGAAAGGCTTTGAGAAAGCTGTATTTGAAAATTTCAGAATCAGGTCATTTCTAAAAAATATTTAAATAAATTATTCCTTTATGCAACCGCATCAACCCAGGAAAAGTCAAAAACAAAAACCAAACATCCAATACGAAGATTTTCTTTACAATAAAAGTTCTTCCAGGAAGTATATTAAATACATGACAACAGAGGAGAAAAAAAAAAAGCATCTCAATTTATACTTACGGGCATCACATTTTAGAACAATGTCTTAGCCATTAATCATTTATCAATGATTCACAGAGAAATTAAATAAGTTATTCCGTAAAAGAATAATCTGATTTACAGTGTAGATGTAAGGCTTCACCGTAACATCTCACACCCTTCACCTGCCTCTCTGCATACCCAAGCTGAGCAATCTGTGCTGAACTCTGCTACCAGAGCGACACAGAGCTGTGGTCCTCAAAAAAAATACAGGTGGCGTTCAGCTTTGCTTTGTTAAGGTTCAACAAGATAGTGTTTGAAGTATCACTACACAGCAACCCATTATCCATCACAGTCAAAGGGAACGAAAAGCTAGGAGCAATACACATTTGCTGTTTGAAGACGGAGGGAATGGATTAAGCTACACCTTGCGGAGGCACACGAAGCCTAGCTGCTAGTTATGCCATCGTATCGTCAGTCATACAGTACTTCCTTTTAACAAGGTATAAAGCTTCTGTCTGGAAAAAGCTGGGAAAAAAAAGATCATGAGAACTATCACTCTCCATAGCTATCATATTACCGGCTTTACAGAGCTCCAGTTCATCCAAAATACTGAATTAAACACTGATGTCAATGATAACCCTTGGTTTCCTTAGGCATCGAGTACAGATCAGAAAAAAACTGGCCCAAAACATTGATTTTCAACCACAAAACACTGCCAGAAATCTAGTACTTGCAACACAATTATCTGGTGTTGCAGTTAACACATTAATTCCGCAGACAACAGTCACAAGTACTTACTAAAAATACGGATATGTTTCCTAAAGGTAATGTGAAGCTTTATTTAAGATGACAAAGCTTTTTCGTAACAGTGCAGGGTGCAAATTTCCAGTACGAAGACACTCAGAAGATCTGCTGCTCGAAGAGGATCTTCTCAAACCCTGGGGGAGGCGTGTGGTAAAATTCACTGAACTGACAATCCAGAATGGCACTGTCATCAACTGTGGGAAAGAATCAAACAGAAGGAATTAGAGAAGGAACATCCAGAGTTTCACCCTCTATTACACCACCTTCCTAGATTATATATGCCATGGTTACAGCATGAGGAATATTCTACAACATTCGTTACCTACGCATAGGAGAATTAAATGAAATCTCTCCAACAAATTTGCTAAAGCCCTGTACGCATACCCAAGGAGAGCCAGTCACCTCTCTCTGCTGATATTTACTTTAGCCAGCACCAGTCCTTGATTTACCCAGAGCACACTACCTCTGATTTCACGTTAGCAGGGCTTCAGACAATTCCATTCAAATTTTCTACTCTATTTTTCTGTAAATCTGTAGACTAAGGACACTACTAGATGCACACTGCAAGGCTGTCACCTCTACAGCTGCATATCTTTTTCTGTCCGCTTCCTATTTTGCCAGAGTTTTACAGGGTTTCATCTGTCTGCAATCATTTCTCTGGAGGTTACCAAGATTTCAGAAGTCTGCAGTGGTTGGTGTCAGACCATCTGTTCTAAGATGTAATACGAAGAGAGCTTCCTTGACTGCTTCTTTAAGTTGGAAGTTAATGCTTTTTACAAAACCATTCCCGGTTTTGGACCTCCTGCATAAACTGTGGCACATGTGGTGTTAACCTTCAGTACAGAAAAAAGAAACTCCTGAGGACTGTCACAGAAAAACTTTCATGTACTGCACAAACAAACAGAAATGCACAGCTGGACAGCAAAGCTCTCTTTCAAAGATACTTTTCTCCAAATAAACCAGGTATATGAACAATATTAGATCAAAATAGGGGAGATTCATCTCCATAGTTTGGTTTGAAATTTAGATAGCTCAGAACCAAGATAGGAAAAACCTCTTATTAGCACATTTCTACAGTCCTGTAGCATTTATGCAGCGTTTGCATCACCCTTGTGCAAAGGTGCCTCAAGTACAGCAGCTGTGGGGAGCAACCTTCAAGTTCACTTTCCTGTTTTACACACTTGACACTGTGTTCACCTACTCCATCAGGTTTCTTTTAAAATGATATCCATAGTTCTGCTCTGAATTCTGGAAAGGGAGATGCTTAAGAAGCTCTCTTCGCTGTGTTCAGATCCATTCCCATGACTAGAAGTGCACATTAAAATAAGGACGTTTGTATTTAAAATGTACACCAATGTTAAGTGCCACGCAAAATCAATTTGGAGGCTTCAGTTGTTACAGCAATATGTAAGAAACGTGATAGTTTGTGAAATTATGCCCACTTGCAGAAGAGGAGAATAAGAAACTGGCAATGAAAGGCTGCTGCATTCCCCTGGCACAGAACTCAGAAAAAAAGATGATTTATAGTGGGCTAACAAGCTACCGAATGCTTTGTGAAAGCAACCTGCTTTCAACCATTTCAACCTGCTAACACCATTTCCAAAATAAAGGGAAGACACAAGAATCAGCTATCACACCGTAACTCCTCTCCCACTGCTCACCAAGCTTTTCACACGAGATCGGCCGTGCTGTGGGGCAGCTCCGGGCTGCCACAGCACTTCAGCAGCGCCATCATGTGGCTTACAAACACACCACAAGATGACAATATTTCCACTCCTAATACTTTGGAGAAGTGTAAGTCTAAATTTATTGACTTCAAAGGCTCTACAGCATATCTAAGAGTATTTCTTCCTGCTCATAAAATGCAGTATTATGAATGTGTCAAGATATAAATGGGAACACGTCAACAGTTCATTAGGAACCAACCGTGAAATTAAATAATTATCCACATCATATAGCTAATGGTATCTCAAGAAAATGAGATAAATGAGCTTGGGGGAAGACATTGCTTAGACAAGACTCTTACGGTGGAACAAAGATAAAGCGGAGAAGGCTGGAGGTGCAGTGCTGGGGATCCAATAAGCAGTGATCGTCTGCTGTAAGTCATAAAACAACCCAGAGTGCAGCTCAGATGATGCGCTGCCTTTTGGATGAGATGTTAAACAGCCTTCTGACTGCTCGGGAACTACAAAAACACCACCAAGTTCTGGAAGGGTAAATTGTTAACACACGTCTTGGCCAAATTCCAGCTCCCGTAATTTATAAATTCGTTCTTAAACTGCCTATGAGGGAATTAATTGGACGTGGCATCGGTTTCTACTTCAAAATCGCTCTGCTGTATCGATAGGTGCTGGCAAGAGCAGCCACCACAGCTCACCCACCAGTTGCTGCATTTCAGCACCTTGGTGCTGCAGCAAGGAGCTCGCCCATCAGACAGCAAGCTACAGGACTACATTAGAGTTATTGTTTCCGTAAGAGAATACAAGTGGTAATTCAGTATCTATGCATATTTAACACCGAATACATTTATGAAGTGTGAAATTAAGGGGCATAAACACCAAGCTGCAGAGATAAGCTAGATTAGCCCACATGTCCATACTTTTAGACTAACTGCAGGAACTTCCCGGCCTGTTGGATGTGGATACTTTGTCTGCCATGCTCTTTTTTTCTAGCTATTAAACAGCACTAAAAAATGAAGTGAAAATACACCTTTGTATTCTCCTTGCTTTGTGTTTCCAAGCAATTCTTCGATGTAGTTGCCAGAACAAATGATTGAGGTGTGACTGGTAAGACGCGTGCTCCATCCAAGCGAGGAGGAGAATTCACAAGACAGACTTGGTGCAAAAATATTTATGTACTACAAAACGGTTTGAAAATCTCCTACTTACCATAGACCACTGGATAGACAGTCCCTCGGATTCCTGAAGCTGGACAATGCATGTTCTTCCCATTTAAATATACGTTTAATTCTACATGGTCATATGTAATACCCTACAAAGCACAGAAAAATAAAAACAAACAAACAAGCCATCATCAACAAGTTGATACACACAAGATTGCTATTTTAATTAGCTTTTTCAGCCACAGGCAGATTTTAACACCATTATGCAAACCACAGCACTCTAGAAAACTTCACTTGAAATAGTTCTGCCCAGGCCTAGAAGTTAATAAATGATCAGGAACATTTGTTATTTCAAATACTTGGGATTCCTCAATGCTCGTTCAATTTAGATGCAATCAGTACTGTACACATCTTACTAAGGCCAGTTTACAAAAGACATTTCCAGACTATTCCTCACCACGGCACAGAATCACAAAATTTCCTATGGATATTAAGCACTTTGCAGTCTTTTTTGTACCTTCCCGTGGAAATGACTTCCCTAAATAACGACACTATCAGCTCAGTTATTTGACCATCGCTTCACACACATCATGACAAACGTGCTGACCAGAGAGCAGAAAACAAACACTCCCGAGGTAATAAATGACTTGTTAGAAAAGAGATTTTTTTTTCCCCTGACTGTTTTGGTGTGGCTGAGTGTGGCACTTGGAGTTGTCATTTGCTGCCTCGGAAATCTCTTTTTATGACACAACACAATGAATTGCCATCTATGAAAACTGGGGAGTCACCAAAGTAACACATCGGCTACATTTTTTGTGACTGATTGAAGTTGTTGGAGGCTACATTGTCTGACCAAACCCTGAAACAGCCTGCAACCCTCCACGAAAACAACTTCAGAAGGGGATTAAAAGAATAACGGAGCGTCTGAGGTGAAGGGTGGAGAAGTCAGCTTCAGCTGTTTAGGGCTTCTAGGGATGAAATTTCTAACCTTTGCTATACAGAAGCAAGGTTACCCAGCAAGAAAAAGCAGCAGGGATAAATGGTCTACATTTCACGGCTCCCATGTGTTTTTGAAAATAAGCCTTTAACAGGACATCGAGAAAACGACGGTAATAAGCTGGAATCCTCTGAATGCCAAGCCATAAAGATATTTTGGGAACAGTGAGGTACAAACATCTTAGGATTCTCACTTTGCTCTCATTCTTCAATCATCTTCCCACTGAGCATTACCCTCTCCTCATTTAATCCACACTTAATATTTCTTTCATTCCCTATGAAATTTTGGCTAAAAATACAATCCATCGGTCAGCCAGGCCCTCTCTCTGCTCCCTTCTAATTATTAACCGGTCAGCTGAGGGATCTAGAGTTCAGCTGGGCACGGAGGCAGGCCACATAACACATTCCAGAGTGTAATTTGTTCAGGAAAGTCCCATCTTAAACAGTGCAGCACCCTTCTGATGGAGTCATCAGCCAGCTGGACACAGCAACTGGGCTGTGACACAGGAGAGGCCACTTCACAAACCCTAGTGAAGTCTGTCCCCCACTCAGCATCACACAGATGCTCAGAACAAAGTCTGCTGATCCATTCAAACACAACAGGAGTTTACATCAGCACTTTCCAAACTGGGAGATGACAATAATCTGACTGAAACGGTCGGTCTGACCACACAGCAGCTGTAAGTAAAGAGAAATCCGGGACCAGCTGGAAAAGACACAGCAGCTTTAGGAAACTCACCACCACGTCGCCCTCCTGTGGCAAGTTGTTTGCTGGTAGTCTGTTTTTCTCCTCGTTGTTGTAATAGAGAGCTCCATCATTCCTCATCACCAGACTGTGCACGTCTCGACCCATGGGAATTTGATTCAAGTTTGCCTTCTGGGTTGCAACTCCAATACCCCAAATCCCTAAAACATGAGATTAAAACAATATGAAAAAAAATATATATATTTATATACGTGATTTTGATATCTGACTGAAGCAGGACACTATAAAGAACATAATGTGTTATAACTAGTGCCATGGAGGTATTTACTACCAGTCAGTATCTATTGGAAATACCAGCAGTCACAAAAGATTGAAGATATCCTGATGATATCAAGATATCCTATCCTGAAAATATAGATCCAGAGAATTCTAACCGCTTGGCTTAACTTTTACTCCTAAAAAATACTAGAAAACAACTCTGAGAACCCGGGAAGATGTAAAAAACAAATCCAACTAGCACGGATTTGTGAACAAATCAAGTTGAAACAACGCAATTTTATTTTTCAGCTGGTTAGACCAGCCCTAGGGAAAAAGGAGAAATGGTAAATATGACAGATACTGATTTGGTAACGTTTTGGAACCTCATACAACATTCAAATACACAAATGAGTAAAATGTGGTCGAGGTGAAGTTACAGCAAGGCAAGTGCACAACTGGTTAGGAAACTGTATTCGGAGGCTACTCATCAGTAGCACTCTGTCAGATCAAAAAGATGACGTGAGTGAGGTTTCAGATTTTACAGGGAATGCCTGAGGTCAGATGCTATTCTGTATGCACATTAATGGCTTGAATAACACGACAATTTGCTTGTTAAACGTGCTGCCTGTATCAACCTGACAGGAGTGCAAGCTCTTCAGAGGGCAATTTTTAAATAATCCCGATAAATTGGTTAAGAGGGCTGAAATACTGCGAAAGCATTTATTTCTTTCTGAATTACAAAGAACAGCGGATAAGGAGGAATAAGTAGCAAAAATACAATAGTGCCCTGGCAACCAGTTCAAAGAATATAATTTGAGGGTTATCACACAGCACACGCCGTATTTGAGCGTGTCGTACTGTTGTGAAAAACTTCTGGATGTCGTGTATAAATTAAACATGTTGTATATGAAGTCCACAAAGGACATCGACTGCTGCTGCAGCTGGAGCAGAGCATCCATTTAAAGCATCATCCCTCATGACAAGTCAGGTCAATTAGGGACAGTTTAGAAGAAACAAGAAAAACAATCAAAAACGTGTAAAAATATCGTATATAAGTAGACAATCAAAAAACTGGGGCTCTTTAATCTTCAGAAGACTAAAACAAAGCAAAAATATAAGAAAATTAATTTCAAAAGACACAATTGCAGAACAATTCATGCTAATATTTACAAATCCAGAGTGAAAACAGAATTCAGACTGGGCTTTGTAAAACTTTCCCATAGTCAGGTTAAGTGACCCCTGGTAGACTGCGCAGGGACACTTCTGTGAAGTTTTAAGCTAAGCAATCTGTAACTCTCCTGCCCTGGGGCACAGGACGAGATGAGGCCGGGCTCAGAGAAGAATTTATTTCCTGTGTTTCAGAAGTGTAACAACGCAGATACAGTACTTGTGTGAATGATGACAGTACGTGAACAACAGCTGCAGCTGAGTTGATTCTCCCCCTCAACAGAAAGGATGCTAAAATCGACAGATTAAGACTGAGCTGGGGTTTATATGTAGTTTAAAACCAAGCTGGTTTAAGAACAAATGGCTAGAGTGTGAGGTGTTTTAGATGGATTCATGTTCACAGTGCCAGCACTCCAAGCCAACTGAGTACAAACAATCCTTACCCAAAAAGCACTGGGTTCAAGCTCCAGTATGGTGAAGCCAGTCTCTGGACAAACACCTCCCTTCTTCTTTCCTCTCCCTATGCTTTGAGAAAGAACAGCCTCACCTTTAATGTCTGATGTTTTTAAAAACACTGGCTGATTTCTTATATTATAATACAGGTAAGCCTGGAGAGCCCTCTGTACTAGTGAAGATGACTGGATTAGTAAGAGTAAAATGTTTCCAAATTTATTCATTTTCTGCTACCTTGCACTGCAAATCTGTACAAAACAAACAGGGTGCTGAAAGGCTCCTCTTGATAAAGCAGTGTTGAAAAAGTGCTACACGTTTGATTTGAAGTGCAAAGCATAGCACGAGGCACGTTACTATTGCTCAAGCACAGTACACCTTAACAGCAAATCAAGGTAGACAAATAGCCAGAAATATTGATGGATAAACTCCACTATTAAAAAGCTAACACTTCATAGCTAGTGTTCGATGTGGTCACGAATGTGTGTTTACCAAAATACATTTCTAAAGTGTAAAAACGAAAAGCATGCATATAGCAGCATTAAAAAAAAATGTGGTGTTTTAGGGTTTGCACTCACCATTCTTTTCAATATTGCAGAGCCACAATTAAGGATAAGAATAATAAGAAGAAAAAGATTTCCTTTTACAGAATGACAGCATATAAGAGTCTCCAGTATTCACAAAGTTCAAAGATGCAATGTGAAAGATGCACGTGCTTGGCATTTGAGATACGACCAACAGCAGGCAATCCGACATACCTTCCACGTTTAAAGGTGTACATTTTTGCTGACTAACCTGTGGACTGGATTTTAAACTCAAAATAGCTCTTGTTCTGATGCAAAGGTGCGTTGGCTAGGCAGCCTCCCGTGCCACATATTCTCCTGCCGTTTTTAACAATGACAACATCTGTTCCTGCAAGAAGAAAACAAAACACAGAACTTCAAAACATTTTCAAAAGTCTGGAAGCGTCCCTTAAAAGCCCTAGACATGGAGAACAATTTTTTTTCTTTCAGCCCCAAGTAAGAGCTTCATTAGTCCAAGAGAATTACGACGACGGGCCACGCTTTGAAGTAAGAAACGGGAGGCTGTTTATAGGCTGGTTCATCTTTCAAGTCGGGTTTATTTATTTAAAACCTATACGCTGCTCTAATTTCACCTCCTGGGCTTTGAGGCACCATGCTGATCACAGCCTTTGCTCAGCCACATCAGAGGCATAACTTACAATGTAGTCAGAGGGGTTCGCCGTGAGGAGGACCTAAGCCCCGTACCCCGTACTGGAGAAAAACGTTCTGCAGGGAGAAGGAAAGGCACAGCAGGTAGAAACGTTTGATGGACTCCTGAGGCCTCAGTTATTCTCAGGTGAAGCCCTTTTGTTAGAAACACGCCTGCCAGTATGGAGAAGGGAAAAAAGCAACAAAATGTTTCTTCTTCCAGCAGAAGACTTCACCTACAGATACCGTTGGCACGGCCACGAGTACAGTTGACTCTCCAGGTCCCAAACAGGCCAGGAATCGTGCTCAAAAGCTGCTTTTTCCTCCTCGCTGGGCTGTGGATGAGGGGCTGAGCATGGCTTGGCGTGAAAATCACCTCAAGTAGAGTTTGGGCAGGGCTGCGGTAGCCCTGCTCCTTCCCAGGTGCTGAGGAAGGCGGCCGCGCACTGCTTGCCTCACCTGAACCTAACCCAAACCACTTTTTATTTTTATTTTTATTTAGTTTTATGTTTATTTTTATTTTTTCGGCTTCCTCCGCCAACTCTCCCGATGTGAATCCCTCAGAGTGGGCTGCACCCCCAGGCACCTGCCGCCGACCCCTCCCCGCGCCCTCCCACCACAAGCAAGGCGAGCGCCCCTTGAGGCTTCCCCCTCCCCTCTTCACGCACGGCGACCCCAAAAAGACACCTTTTTCCCCCAAAACAACCCCCGCGGCGACACCTCCCCGAGGCTGAGGGGCAGCCGCGCCCCGCCGCGCTCACCCATGCGCTGCGTGTCCAGCTGCACCGCCGGCATCTCCTTCAGCGGGATGTGCCCGGCGCCGCCATCCCGGCACCAGCGGAGGCAGCAGAAGGCGGAGGCGGCCATGGCTTGGCCGGGATGAGCCGGGACGAGATGAGCTGAGCCGAGCCGAGCCGAGCCGGGCCGGGCCGGGCCAAGCGCGCAGCCGCCGCCAGAGCCGCGAGATGGCGGCGGGGCCCGGCGCCCCCTGGCGGGCGGGAGGAGGCGGCGGGAGGGCGCGACATGGCGGGGCGCTGAGGGGAGCTGAGGGAGGGCGGCCCTCGGAGGGGACAAAACACGGCCCTCAGGGGGAACAACCGGGCAGGTTGGGCTCGGCTGAGCCTCCCCTGTGGCTCCCCGGCACTGAGGGGTGGTTATCCGACGGGGGGAGCCCCCCCAGACCCCGCTTTGCTGCCTTCACCCCGCTTGCCGCTCGGGTTTTCTGTCAGAGAAACTCCAGTAAATGTCGTGCTGCTGGTCCACAACGCTCTGCCAACAACAAAACACATACGTTTAAAGCCATATTTACCTCCCATTTGGGATAAAATTGTTCCTCGTGGTGCTCATCTGCCATCTCATTTTGCTACATTTCACCTAGAAAGCTCCCTTAAGTTTTTCCCCCATACGCACCTAACGTAACCCGTGTGGTACAACATCACCCATCTCGGGGGCTTTAGTGGGTTTTCACATCCTTTATTAAAGAACAGCTTCACAGCAAGAAATATCTTACTGGTCTGGATGGGCTGCATCAGTCACACCTACCCCTTCGCTTGAAACATGAGGTGAAATGCTGCCTTCCTCCAAACTGTGCCTAAAACCAAGCTGATTTTAAGAGCAGCTCTAAAATATGCTTCCTTTCTTTTATTGGACTTACTGTTACAGCCCATAAACATTTGGGGTCAAGAGCTGACTTCCTTAAAATATGCCAAATGGGATTATTCTTGGACTTCTAAGAAGTAAATATTAGGTGGAAACTGATGTTTATTTATTTCGTGTGTAGGGCACCGTCGTTCCCGTCGGTAGCTGGTTGTTCACATAATTAGTCCCATTTAAGTCACTGCGGGATTTTTATTGTCTGTCGCACACTGCGGGTTTGTTACAGTAAATGCTAAATGACAAATGTTAATCTATTATTAAAAAAAAAAAAAAGACTTAGGAGGAGATGCAACCTCCAGATGACTTCCCATCCTATTTCTTCTCTGTGCCCTAATACTCTCCTTTCTTTCCCCAAAAGACCACTGAGGAGACGAGCACATGTTGCCAGCATTGCCAAAGCTGTCGGACTAAAGGGCAACAAGACTTTTGGGGGCAGTCGCTGGCACTTCCCCACTCCACTGCTTTCTTACTGGAGATCCCAGTGTCACCAGTCCCCAGCTGGCAGTGGCTGTGGTGCTGGGTGTCCCCCAGAGCCAGCGCCAAGCCTGGTGCTGGTGACAGCTTAGTGTCCCCATGGGATGCATGGTAAAGCCACAAAGCCCCACCTGGGAAAACCAACAAGGCTGGTCAGGTGGAAAAAGGGAATGTCAGCTGGTAATAAATACAGCTTTTTGTATGCCTTTTGTGGAGGAGCAGGTGAGAAACGCCAGCAAGATAGTACCATATCTGTCATTTTTTCTTGACAGCCTGTTTAGAGCATGCTTGAACAGCGAGATTTCACAAAATTTGTTCAATGCCCAAGCAGCTGCCCCGAGGAAATGGAGATCTGGGCTCCAGCATTCACACATATAACTGTGGTTGGCAATGAAGGGTTAATGCGGCGTCTGCTGAATTTCTTGAATGTGCATTTCTTTCACTGGGGAGGCCAAGTATTTAGGGCCCTCCCACACTGGAAGCAAAATTATGCTCAGCATGCCTAAACATGCTTGTTGCTCGCAGGGTTTTAGCTTTTTTTTTTCCCTTTTTTTTTTTTTTTTTTTTTTTACTTGAACAGTAGCAGCAGAGACATTTTGTCTGGGGACCATGTTAGAAGAACGGGAAGAAGAACGGAAAAGAAGACCAGGCCTCATCCATTTCACAGACGTGGGAGTGCTGGAGATTGTGCTGGAAGGGAAGGGTGGTCATTGACTTGTTCTGTTCCCTTGCTCAGAGCTTCATTCACAAAACACAACTGTCCCTCATTAGCCCTGCAAAATAGCTCCACAGGCTGCAAATACATCTGGGTAAGGTTCCCTGGTATCACCAAATTCACAGGAGAGAGGGGAATTATGTATCACCCGTTGTTCCAGCATGTAATACAACATCATTAATCAGTCTCAACATAATAATTCCTCTTCGTAGAGCACTGGGCCTTGCTCCTCCACTGCCACAAGCTTTACGGAGGCATTTCCATCTGTGAAAAACAATTAAAAAAGTAAAAAAAAAAGGTTATTAAATATGCTGGAATAGGTGTATTAACATCTTCGTGGGGCTTGCACAGAAGTAAACGATAGCGCAGGACTGGAAAATCAAGGTTTGTTTACTGAAAGCAGTCCTTCCACTCACAGGGTCAGGCCTGTGGTTTGGAAGATGATACAGACAAGGTCTCCGATGAAAAACAGGTTGTGCTCTTACTCCTCAAATCTTCCTTACAACGTCTTCTGGGGAGGGTGTACTTTCTGTAGGAAGGCTCCTACTTCATGCAGTTAAGCCGACACTCGCCAAGTCACAGCAGAAATTGTGTATGAAAATTAATTTTGTTCCCAGTTGTTCTATTTGCTTTGGAGGTCACTTCCCCTTTCCTTTCTATGCCGGAGAAGCAGAACCCATCAGGGCAGGGCTTTGATCTATAGGCAATCACAAACCTCATTAAAGCCGACAGGCGCGCTGGCCAGGAAGGAGCAATTAAGCTCTTTTAAGGCGTAAGATAGCGAGAGCCTAGAAACCGCTGCCCAGGGCACAGGACTGCACAGCCAGGCACTGGGATGAGCTAATTCGTGTGAGCAAGCACTAATTTGGGGAAAGTCAGAGCTCTCCGGGGACCGCTTGCGAGCGCGGCAGCAAGAGCGCAGATTGGTTGCAGCTGTGTTTGCCTGCGTGCATGTCAGGGAGCGGAAACACCAGGCGAGAGCCAGCAGACAGTGGGAGAAGCAGTGGTGCATGGCTCTGAGAAAAAGCCAGGGGACAGCTTCTTCTGGGCAAGCATCCTGGCGAGAGCAGCAAACTTGGAGCGCCACGCCGTATTCCCTCCCATTTGCTTCCTCTGCGTGCAAGGAAATGGGACATGGCTGCACGTTCTTCGTAAATAAACGGGATCACACTGCGGAGATAACTGAATTCACCACCACGTTAGTTTTCCTCCTAACGGGAAAATCTGGCGACGAGCTGAATATTAGTTAACCGTGCAGGTCAAAGTTCTGTGTGGAAAACTACGGAGCTTTTCGGTGCTGCTAAAATATTCGTCAGGGACCCTGCAGACACCGAGGCAGTCTCTGACATTCAGACCTCAAAACTGCAGGCGATCATTTTGGTTGCTGATGATCCTTCATGGACTTTTAATGCCCAATATTTCTCCAATGCCTATGAAATGCAGTTTTTATGGAACGGTAACAAGCAAGTTACCCTCTTTTGGAGTGTTTAATACAGCTCAGATGTATCTGTTGAACAAGAAGTGTGGCCAGATGCAATATACATCTAGCTGTGCGACGTTTATGCACGGCTAAGGTGTTTGACACACAGGGCTGCTCTGAATAGTTGATTTGTGTTGTCTCACAGTGTCTTCTTACTGAGCTGTACTGGCATCGCATCTCTGGCAGGTTTGTTTCCCTATTTAGGTCCTGACAGCAACCACACAGCACATCTCAGGTTGCCTCTCTCCATCTGAGGATATGCTCACGTGAATAAAGCAGCGTGCTTTGAGTAGTCATCATCCTGAAGTCAGACCTGACTCTGGGAGTGCTCCAACACCTCTGCAATGGGATGTGAAGCCTGAACCTCCTTCAGTAAACGTAGACCTGGAGCCCAGGATAAGTCTGAGAAAGGCCTTCAACTCTTCTCTTTTCTTTGGTGTTTCACCCTCGGAGACAAGTGCAATCAGACAAGTCTTTGGTAGCATAGCTTTGGAAAAGCTTTACTGGTGGAGAAGCCAAACCTGAGGAAAAAGGGAAAAAAATAAAACAACACAACTGCTACTTTTAACTCCTGCTACTTTTATCCATCAGTTTTGTGATAGATACCTTCTCCAGCACAGCACAGAGGGTGGCTGGTGCCTGCAGTAAGCAGCTGGTGTGGCCAAAGGGCAAGACTCTGTTACTTTTGGCAGCGGTGCCAGCAAGAGCTGGCTGGAAGCATTTGGGAAATTATGGCCGGCAGGGAGGCACTTCTGTTTTACGTTGACACGTGTGCAGGCTGCCACTGGAACAGGCCCTCTCGCTAGCTCCTTTATGCTGTCATTAATGCCTGTTTGGCTGCAGGATCAGCTGGGTGAGGAGATTGATCCTGCTGACCCCCCCCCCCCCCTTTTTTTTTAAACTGGATTAGCTTTCGGCTCTGTTGGCAAGTGGGTCTAACCTAACATGTGGCCACATGGATGTCAGAGCCAGCAGAGAGAAGGCATCAGGAAAGCAAAACTAAGGGAAAGGAAGAGGATGGAGCTCTCTTTTGTCAGCAGCACAGTTGGCTTAACTCTGTCAATCCACCTCTCAGGGCAAAAGTACCTGTTACAGCTTGAGTCAGTTTAATGGCTCGCATCCACAGAGAGGAAAAATCCTTATTCCTGTTTTCCTCCCTCCTCTTCCGTTAGGCCTGGTGATTGCCTAACCGTGTACTGAGCTGGTTCAGCTCGTTGCATCAGCAGGAAACGAACCCAGGCACAGAGAAGGGAATAGCGTGCTGCTGGCATAGCGGGCTGGATCATCTCGGGAGAGTGTCTGTGAAGCGTGGTGGAGCTGGTACGAGCAAGGCGAGTAGCAGAAGGGAGCTGTCAGGCTGCTGGCTGAAGCCCACCACACAGCTTCAGTCTCAGAAATCTCCCCTTGCAATGCTTAATGCAAGAACCATGGTCTAGGTCCTCTCTGGAGCTGGAAGATGCCAGTAGGTGCTGCCGCCCTTTGCCTTCCCACAAATAGATAATACCGCTGCAGATCTATTAATGCTCTTTTCCATCAGCCAGAATTTTCCTCTGAAACTTCAGCAAATGGCCCCTGATGCTACTTCAGGAAAACACTCTGTGCTCTCAGCTGTCAGAATGCAAGCTCATAAGCAACCTGCCTTTGAAAAACCTGCGTT